GAAGGAAGGAAGGAGAGGAACAAAGAAAGGAAGGAAGGAGGGAAGGACAGATGAAGGAGGAAGGAAGGAAGGAAAGAAGGAAGGAAGGAAAGATAGAGGGGGGAGGGAGGGAGGGAGGGAGGGAAGGAACGAAGGAAGGAAGGAAGGAAGGAAGGAAGGAGAGGAACAAAAAAAGGAAGGAAGGAGGGAAGGACAGATGAAGGAGGAAGGAAGGAAGGGAGGAAGGGAAGATGGAGGGAGGGAGGGAGGGAGGGAAAGAAGTGGCCCCTTACCAACTGATGTCCCCAAAAGCATTAAAAGCAAAAAAAAAAAATACCCCCAAAAAATAATGATGTAAGAAGTGATTGGACTCCAAGGTGGACCCTGTCCTTTGGGTAATAATTACAGCTCAACCATTCTCATTGCTCTCTCCAGCCCAGGAGACAAACCTTCTCTTGAGGCAGCTGATTACTGGCTTCCAAAAATGTCTGCTGGATACCACCCACCCATTCCAGGATTTAGCTGGCAGACCTGGGCCCCTGTTGTCTTCTGGAGCAGAACCGGAGAACCAGATGGTCAGATGTTTCTTGTCCACCAACCCTCAAGGGTTTAACCTTGCACACACACACACACACACCCTGACTCATCTGCCCAGTTGCTGTCCTGGACTGCCATATCTTTGAATGAATGAATGAATGAATTCTATATTGGCCAAGTGTGATTAGACACATAAGGAAATTGTCTTAGTGCAAACGCTCTCAGTGTACATAAAAGAAAAGATACGTTCATCAAGAGTCAAGAATCATCAGGTCCAACACTTAATGATAGTCATGGGGTACAATAAGAATAGAATAGAATAGAATAGAATAGAATAGAATAGAATAGAATAGAATAGAATAGAATAGAATAGAATTAGGATAGGATAGCGTAGGGTAGGATAGAATGGAATGGAATGGAATGGAATGGAATAGAATAGAATAGAATAGAATAGAATAGAATAGAATAGAATAGGATAGAATAGAATAGAATAGAATAGAATTCTTTATTGGCCAAGTGGGATTGGACACACAAGGAATTTGTCTTGGTGCAAATACTCTCAGTGGACATAAAAGAAAAAATACATTCGTCAAGAATCATCAAGTACAACACTTAATGATAGTCATAGGGTACAATAAGAATAGAATAGAATGAGAAAGAATAGAATAAAATAGGATAGGATAGGATAGAATAGAATAGGATAGGATACAATAGGATAGGATAGAATTCTTTATTGGCCGAGTGTGATTTGATACCCAAGGAATTTGTCTCGGTGCAAATGCTCTCAGTGTGCATAAAAGAAAAGATACATTTGTCAAGAGTCAAGAATCATCAGGTACAACACTTAGTGATAGTCATAGGGTACAATAAGGATAGAATAGAATAGAAAATAGAATAGAATAGAAAATGGAATGGAATAGAATAGAATAGAATAGAATAGAATAGAATAGAATAGAATAGAATTATAGAATTATAGAATTATAGAAATGAATAGAATACAGTAGGTGTACAGTAGAGTAGAACAGAATAGAACAGAACAGAACAGAACAGAACAGAATAGAATATTATTTACCAAGCACCCAAATTATGTCGCATCTTCTCTTCTTCTCCATTTGTAGCAAAACCACTTCAGAAGAAGACAGCAAGCAGCCAGCTCAGGCAGTGACCCACGTCCCTGCAGAACCCACGCATGCTCCAACCTGGGAGGAAAGAGTGACCGTGGAAATTGATTCCAGCAAGGCAGGAGAAGAAGGTGGGACCACTTTGGAAGATCCGAGAAGCTTGGTGGGACTGAATGAATGGAAGGGAAGAAAAGAGGAAAAAGAATCAACCTGAAACAAGAAGGATAGATTCAATCATGGTGGTGATGGGGGGGAGGGGCGGGGGAAGGTTGTGAGTTCTTAAAGATCAGGTTGAGGGGGTTGAGGGTCCTGGAGAACATCTACATGGTCCTTAAGAGTTGGCGCTAACTCAATGGCACTCAATCAATGGAATGCCAGATCTGAAAAAGCTTGTGTGCCAAGCTGAACTGAATTCGGCGGCATAAACACATGATGTGGTACCCAGCTAGCGGATTGTCTATAGAGTACTGCTCCTGAGTCCTTCCTCTCTCCATCAAGCAAATGAGTCTGTATTTAATAATCGCCTACCAAATCGCCTCGCTTATCTCCCAGTTAGGAAATGGGATCTGTGTTTTGCTGCCTCTGGCTCTTCCCTTCTAGCTCCATTGCTTGCCTTAATGGGGAAATGATGATTGATAATTGAGGTATTTTCGCAAGACGGCGGCCATTTGTCCTGGTGACTTGATCTTTATTCTTCCAAGCTGAGCGATGTTATGCGGGTAATCATAATACTACTAATGGCCTTAGAGTTAACAATTAGATTAATGCCAGACGCTGGCGAAACCGAGTCAGCAGCAGTCAGACGTAGCACTCCAGGTAATTCCATTACAGCTCCTGATTCGGTGAAATAAGACAGTGTTTGATGTACTCCGCTACCTATCTCAGCCCAGAAGGAAGAGACGGGGCCTGCAGAGTTTCAAGGTTAGATCGCTTTAGTCTAAATCCAGTTGGAGGAAGCTGTTTGTCTAGGCAAGGCAGGAGACTGTTTGAGACTCATTACAGGCTGGGAATGAACATAATTCCCAGTGTTGTGGTTCGCCGGCAGCCAATGCAGATGACACCAGAATTGGATAGTGGGGAAGAACAGGGACCAGTCCGGGAGTCTGGAGAGGACTCGGATGAGGGTCCTGCATCTGATATAGAGATGGGGCCAGGACCACCTGGGAGTTATGTGCTGACTCCGGAGCCTCCAGAGTCTGGCAGCAGAGAGGCAGAGGACCCAGGGGAGCCTGTTCCCAGTGTGCACAGAGCTGCTAGAAGGTGAGAGCAGGTGAGACAAAAGGGGCAACTTGAGAGTAAGTCTGGGAGGTGATTGCCCCTCCCACAAGATATAAAGGAGAGGCAAAGGTAGAGAAACCTTTGCAGGAAGCAAAGTTGTTTGTTCTGTTTGGATTAATCCTTGAAGCTCTGTGTGGACTTTGCAGTTCCATTGGCTTTTTATAGTTCATTCGGCACTTTAGTTGTTGGCAGCAATTCAAAGGAGAGAAAGGTGGGTGCTTATCTCAAGGAACTGTTTAGGACTCATTACGGGCTGGGAACGAACATAATTCCCAGCGCTGAAATAAAACAAGAGTTGTTTTAAGTCAGTGTGTGCTTAATTAGGGTCTCAGGAAGCCTTGGTCAGAACACACAGGTCAAAAGGGTCAAGATGGGCCCCATGATTGTGTGGTGAGAGACTTGTTCCTTTAAGGATGCAGCACCCCAAAAGGACACCCCCCCCACGGGACCTGGAGATTCCCTCCAAGAAAAAGCAAAGCATCTTCAGCAAAAGACATGTCAAATACTTCCTCTAGAGTTAAAAGTTTTCCCTCTCCAATCTAGAGCATGGTATTCATCTCACTTCTTCTTCTTGGCCGAAGGAGCCAGTGTTGTCCAAAGTCAACACTGTAGGGCTATATGCCAAAGACATACAGAACACCGTTACCTTCTCATCAAAGTGGTACCTATTTATCTACTCACATTTGCCTGCTTTCGAACTGCTAGTTTGGCAGGAGCTGGGGCAAAGGAACAGGAGCTCACCCCATCGTGCAGAGCTGGGGTCTCGAACCCAGGCTGTCAGCTTTCCAGCTGACAAGCACAGCACCTTTAACCATTGAGCCATCGTGCCCCTGCTTCTGCTCCCAATAGCAAAAAATAAAATAAAATAAAATAAAAAATCAGCTCCTAAGTTTAGGAAAAGAAGAGTCACGGTACTAAGTGGGGTATTATCTTTCTCTGACCCAGGGGTTGTGAGAGATGGTGGCTATCACAGTGACATCCGGGCGACAGCTGAAGTCGTAACGTTCTCGGAGCTAGTGATTGCAATCAGAAAGAAAATGAATAGATGGGCGGGATCTCGAAAGAGAGACAGAGAGAAAGAAGAGGGAGAGACAAAGAAATCCATGCGTTGGGCAGGTGCCTGGCAGACTGTTGCTCTGTGGAGATCTATTCAGTCATAGCTCTGTGGTGCCTCTGCCCCCTCCCTTCTCCAGTGGGGTCACACAGAAAGCAACCGGCAACTAATGATGGAGGAAATGAGGCTCTATTCTTCCGTTGTCAACGCTCACAGGAGAGGCAGGCCTTCCTTCTTGGGCAAGGGATTTGAGAATAATGGCCACAGCGAGAACAAGACTGCTGGGAAGAGATAATGAGACAGGCGGGGAGACAGGCTGGAGAACATCTCCAGACACAAAGCAACAATGTCTTCCTGTCTTGGGGTTTCAGTTGTGTTCTCAGAAAGTTCAGAAAATGCTGTGAGGACTTAGAAGGTTACAAGGCCAGCAACGTGGTCAAGGGAGAAGAAGGCACCAGTTAGAGGCTGGCATCTATCTAACTTGGTTTGACCTTCATCCAGTCTACCTTCCACCTCTTCTTCCATCCCACATTCAACCAACGTCTACGGAGATTCTCAGTCATCCAAGTCATGGTTGTCCCAAAAGTTTCTTTCAAAAGGCAATTGGAATTTCTTGTGTTTTTTTTTTTCCTTGAAAATGTTTCACTTCTCATAGCTGAAGAAACTTCTTGGATGAGAAGTGAAATGTTTTCAAGGAAAAAAACCAAGTAAGTCCAGTTGTGTTTTGGAAAGCACCTTTAGGACATTCAACCAATGCCTTCTCCTTTCCCCCTTTATCTAGCAACGATGCCAACATCCTTTTTTCCCCTGGCCTTCAGCTTTGGGAATAGCTCAGAATCCACCATCTTGCTTTCTCTGTCTCTGAAAGAAGAGTAGGAAGAGGAAAAAATATATAATTTCTGACGTTGCGTAACATTTGGAAGTCTTCTGTAGTTTCTGCACATTTCTTCTTTCTGCTCCTGAACTCTAGGGACTAGTCGGATGAATTTTTCATGATTTACACAATGCACCTTGGGAAGAGAATGCTAGGGGTTCCATCTCAAATTGGCTCAAGGAAATGTTCTTGTCATCCCAAATCAAGCCATCATAAAAAAAATAAGAGCCTTTGGAACTTCTTTTAGTAGGTCAGGAAAGGTGAGGAAGGCGTGAACCACGTTTACAGTACTTCTTTTTGTTCTTGTTGTTCCAGTTGAAATAACAGAAAAAGGCCTGTTTCAACTAATCAGTCTGAAAACTCCCTATTTGGGGTCTGATAAAAAGATTATCTCCCCTCCGTTCCATTTTCATTAAAAAAAAATAATGATTCAACGTTCATTGTCTGGTTTTGCTTTCATACTCTTAAATTATTAGCTTTCTTAATCATTTTGAATACTTAGCTATTAGGATATTCTATTTTTGATGGAGCAGTAAAAAAAAAAAGATTTTAATTCTATAATGCCCCAATTCTCTCATTGTCTAATAAATGCCTTTAATGTTTGAAGTTCATTATTTTAATAGAGCTCTGTTGCAATTCCTTCCCTTCCTTTCCCTTCCCTTCTTCCTCTCCTCTTTTCTCTTCCTCGTCCCCCCATATCTGACAATATTATTTTTTAGAAAAGGTGGGATAAATGAAAAAAATAAAGGAAACATACACAAATGTGTTAGAACGGAAGGGAAAGAAAAGACTTTGGATGGGAATAGAAGTAAAGGTGGATTTTTGCAGATAAAAATGCAAACATTTACAATCACTTTAAAGGTTTTTTTTTTTTTTAGTTCTTTCTACTATAACCTAGCATAGCTATTCCTTGTGCATACCCCCCCCCGCAGGATATAAATTCCAAACCAAAATGTATACACCATCAACTATTTATCACACCTTCATCTTCCCTTCAAGAGGCGCCTGATTACAGTTCAGCACCAAGGACAGAGCTTTCTGCTCAGGGGACAAGGGGAGGAGCCCCCCCCCCCCCCCCCCAGGACTGGAAGCCTCTTCAGGCGCTTTTCACACATTATTCAGCTAAGAATAATGAGTTTTATCAAGTGAATAGGCGCTTATTTTCTTCGCGTGGGCCTTTTGTTCCACACGGCTTTTAAGACTTTGCTTAGCGATGTTAGAAACTCATAAGGATGATAATTGGTGGGATTAGAAATTAGCACATGGGTGGCTTGTCTCAGATGACAGTAGAATAATTTTCCTACTGCAATTATAGTACAGTAGACATGTAAAGTGATGGTTATTAAGATATCTGTCTGTCTGCCTATCTATCTATCGTCTATCTTCATCCACTCTCTCTCACTTTCTCT